ACCCGACACCAATCCATCTCAGCTGTAGTCTGATGTGAAACGCTCAGTGCAATCCGAACTGCAACGGAAGCAAACAGCAAAGAAAACCCGCTTGATGGGTTTGGGGGTGAATGCGCGATAAGTGGGTGCGGCTCTATATTCTAGCTTAAAAAAAGCGCACCCCCTAAACCTAAACCCTACACCCTAACCCTAGTTATAGAGGCGGACCTGTCCGTCGAAGACTTGGTCAAAGTCGAAAGTCAAGTGCTGGACAAAGGGCGTCTTCCTTGGTGCCGTTGGGGTTCAAGGCACCGCTTAGGGTTTATAGGGCTGATAGGTATCACATGGTATTATATGGCACATTTTGGCGCTTTTAAGGCATAAAGTTCAATGAGCTTTAAGCTCATGGGTTTACCTATCACTTGAGTGCCCTTGTTTCGGGAGGGACGGGTTTCATTCACAAGTTCTATCTACAAGAAGTCCACTGTTACTTCTGCACAGGTTGACGGTTCAAGCGTTCGCAGACTAAAAGAGGTTTCAAAGTTTTAATGCAAGGGGTTTCTCGCCGCTGAGGGTTTGACAGTTTCGGGTGCAGGGTTTTCGAGATCCCGAGTTGCCGGGATTGGTAGAGAAACTTATCCCGGAAGTTCAATCAAATAGCCACTGTGGGTTTTCTCCGTGTGTATACAATTTGCGGACAACCCGTCCCCGCTTCCTCTAACCATTCGATTAATTTGACAAAACTGTTCAACTCTAGCTATCCTGAGGGATACTGTGGAAGGAATCGGCTATTAGCTGGCCCGATCACTCATTCACCACAACACCAACGTATGATGCACGATTTGCACGTTAGCACCGCTACAAACCTCCATCACCCTGCCGACTGACCTTGCCCTTCATTGCACACAGAGGCTTAACACCTCAGCATAGCTTGCACAAGTGCTGGACTCCTTGGTCCGTTTTTCAAAACAGGCCGAATGGAACGAAATGAACAACAATCCCCCCACACACACATGAATCCCCAGAGGCACAAGAGCATCGCCACAGCAAGAGAGCATGAGCGAAGGGCCATCTTCGTATATGCATAGACCAGATGTTTTGACGCTGCAACACATTGCAAGCAATTATTTCAGCTCCAAGGCAGATGCCCTGGTATCCAACCCAAGCTGATCCCTGTTC